GGTAAGGAATTCTTGAGACTAGCTGGGATGTGGATGTAGAAGGAGGCTTTCCGAGAGTCGGGCAGGGATTGAACAAAATAGACAGAAAGATCCAAACTTTCATAATCATTGTCTATTCAGAGGCTTAGCTAAGCAAAGCAAAACATTCTGGGTAACTTAATTGGAAAAAACCCACCCTATTAATTGTTACTGGACACGAAGCATCTAAACTATAGAAAAGGGACATAGAGGATGCTGGTAATTCCAAGGAGTTCCCAAGTCAATGGGTCAGAAGTATTACAGGTTTTTTAAACATAACTTAATAACTTCCAACTATTTCTTGTCTTTTTGTTCGCATTAAGATTAGAACAAAGAAGCCTTACCAGAAATGTACATCTTATGAAAGTCTTTTTTTTTTCCTTTAGTTAGTAATCATTTAGCATAGGAATGCAGCAACTCAACATTTGTAAGAAGGCTGTATTTTTAGACAATGTTATTAACAATTGTATATCATTATTAAAATTATTTAGAGTAGGCACTCAGCTGACTGAAATAGAGGCATTGTAGGCACTGTAACATCTTAGGTAATACAGTAATTGCCCCTCTTGTAAACGTAATAGCCTTCCACAGTAATGGATGCAGTGACTCAGTGTTGTGAAGGATGTGTCAACACATCAACAACTTAGTCCAGCTGCCACCAATCCTCAAATATTTTTTGCTGCCCTAGTGGGTACTGCCAGTACTTGAAAACCTCTCCATGATGCTGCAGTCACAACTCCATTTTTGTGCATTTATGTATCCTTGCTAGAGGATGCAAGAATGTAGTAGAAGCTCATACATTCAAATGTGCTGGACTTGGGACCAGAGAGATTGCCCCTTTTGTGCTTTACTTAAATAATTTTGTAGATGAGAAAATAATTATACTTTGTGTGTCATGTGTTTTATATGCTTTTACAACAATAAACCTACAGTGAGTGGCTTCTTTGGAATACTGGCAAATCTGTCTGTAAGACTTAAAATAGCCTTTAAAGTGGATGCTGTGCATATGGGAGCCTTTACAGATACAGCATTGAATCATCTCTGTTGCATCTAAAGAAATTCACAGACAAAAACCTATTAAGTACTGATAGCTCAAAAAACCCTACAATAAAATTAGATTAATTTTGATAACTATCTAGGTAAAGTTTTTAAATTAGGTTGTGAGTTCATAAAAAAAATAAAATTCCTAAAATCATGAAACAAAGCCATAGAGGTCATTCACCCTTAACTTCTTAGAGATTCCAGGTAGTAATGATAGTTTTAGGACTATGGCATTTAGTGGTTTTAGTCCTAAATTAAAATAATCGCTCAATAAAACTTTTCTCTGTGCATGATCTATTTCTATATATAGAATCCCATTACTCAATATTTATTTAGCTTATGAAATAGGTTAACATCTGAAACATCTCCTACTGCTGGTAAGGAAAACCTTTTTCTCTTGCAGTTCCTGCATCTTGGTTTGGTTAATAGAGAGTTAAATAGAAGAAGCTATTAGTGGCAAGGATTAAAATTAATTTTATGTAACAGTAATTTATTAAGCTTACCTGTTGTTGCACTCTAGGAACCATTTCAAAATAAAAGTTTTTCCATTTAACCACGACATGTGATGGATCGCTTATGGAAATCCCTTTTATTAATAAACAGAGCTGAAATACCTGCTTTTGTTCCACGTTTTTCCTCCTCCTTTCCAGTAGAGAGAAAAGTGTTGGAATTTGTTTGGTGACTTCAGTGTCATTGAATTCAGATTTTATCATGAGAGCAGACTACAAAATCAGAGAGCCTTCATAGGGAAGCCTTTCAATGGATCCAGGCATAGCTGCTGGCTTTCAAAGTGGAAGTAAAGACCTAAAATCTTCTAGGTAATGACGATGATGCAATGGTTTGTGGCATAACCAAAACTTCCAATGATGTCTGGAAACAAATTGAAGCCTGCTGCAGCCTGTTGAGTGTTTGCTGCTGTCACACTGCTAAGGAAAGCTGTGGTAGCTGGTTGGGGATTTCCAAATGTTAAGAGGATAGCAGCAACACCAGATGTTCAGTCTTGAGGGTCAGCTGTCTGGCAGTGCTCAGAGAAGGAACATGTCTGCAGATGACCTTTGCTAGATAGGTTTTCTAGGACCAGCCAGAAAGGCAGGCAGCTGCTGAGCTTCTCAAATAAGAGAATCTTTTTGCCTAAATGCTAAAATAAGGAAGTATTTTTCATCATCACAAAGCATGGAAGTTCTCTTTCTTGCCCCTCTTTCTCTCGGACGTAGGTTCCTTTGTTGAAACTCATCCAAAGTGCTTAAGATCTGGCAGCTGTCTTCTGCTATTGATCCAAACTAATTCCATGTAAATGTCTGGCTGGCAGTCCTCATCATGCCTGCCAAAATCTATAAACCTCTGTAGCTTTCTTTCCTCTCTAGAATGCAGGGTTTGTTGGGGGGAGGGAGTCGCAGGAAAAGGATGTTCCTGAGCACGTATACTTTTGTGTAGATATCATAGTTGCCTTTCTGTCCCCAAACCGCAGATGGCGTTCCATGTTCTCAGAACCCAACGGTTGCCATAGAAACCTGGATCAACTTCAACAAGGAGGAGCGAGCGGGCTTTTCGGAGACGCTGCGATCGAGTCTGAAGGTATAAAAAGACCTTCTTTTCCGGGGTTGGTGTAGCATTTGCTGGTTTCACACTTCCCAAGGCAGGGTATTGTGCTCACAGGTATGACTTGAAAGTCACAAAACACAAACGTTACTGAAACTCATGGTGCTTGCGTGAGGAATACTTTCATTGTCATAAGTAGAAACCCCACTGGCAGCTTTTTAAATTTAACCTGAGGCTGCTTTCACTTGTGATTGGAGCAATGCCACAAATCACTCATTTCACCAGATGCTCAGTTACCACAGAGACCATTCAGAAATCTGGGTTGGGCATTCCCCTTATAAATTATAACTCCATCAGTGATGTAAGGGAGGCTTACCTGAAACGCAGACACTTGGGTTCCAGTGAAGTCTGTTGCTATTTTGCTGTCAGATATGGCTGGTATCTTGAAAAGGCTTTGAGGTTTTGGATCCTAAACACTGCAGGGTGGCAGGACTGGGGAAGCCAGGTCGCACACCTCAGGCCCACAGGTGGGTCCTAAGCTGAAAAATTCGGTCCTGGGCATCACTGATGTTTGTGTAAACAGGTCCAGTCCTGCTGATACGCTCCTCCTTTCTCTCAGGTGATTGGAGAAAATGTTCACATCTACCTGATCGGAAAGGAGTCGTCGCGTACGCATTCACTTGCTGTCTCTCTGCATTGTGCTGATGATGACTCCATAAGTGTGAGTGGCCAGAACAGCCTGTGTCACCAGATCACCGCAGCCTGCAAGCACGGCAGCGACCTGTACGTCGTTGGTGGCTCCATTCCACGACGCATGTGGAAATGCAACAACGCGACCATAGACTGGGAATGGTGTGCCCCTCTGCCCCGCGACCGGCTCCAGCACACCCTCGTCTCCGTTCCAAGCAAGGATGCAATCTATTCGCTGGGGGGGAAAACTCTCCAGGACACTCTCTCTAACGCCGTCATCTATTACAGAGTGCGAGACAATGTCTGGACAGAGACCAGCCAGTTGGAAGTGGCAGTCTCCGGAGCTGCGGGTGTAAACCTTAACGGTGTCATTTACCTGCTGGGCGGGGAGGAAAATGACTTGGACTTCTTCACCAAGCCCTCTCGGCTAATTCAGTGCTATGATACCAACACGGAGAAATGCCACGTGAAGCCATACGTCCTGCCTTTCGCGGGGCGCATGCACGCTGCTGTGCACAAGGATGTGGTGTTCATCGTCGCCGAGGGGGATTCCCTGCTCTGTTACAACCCCCTTCTGGATAGCTTCACCCGGCTCTGCCTGCCCGATGCCTGGAGCTCCGTGCCCTCCCTCTGGAAAATCGCCAGCTGCAACGGCAGCATCTACGTCTTTCGCGACCGCTATAAAAAGGGCGACGCAAACACTTTTAAACTTAACCCAGCCACCTCTGTCGTAACGGTCACGAGTGGCATCAAAGTGCTGCTCACTAACCTGCAGTTTGTCCTGGCCTAAGCGGGGGTAAAACGGGCCCCAGTGACAGAAAGGGCAGCTCAGAGTCACCCACCGCCCTCAGCACCGGTCCCAGTTACTCACAAGATCCAGTAAAGACCCCCAGAACGGGCTTTCTGGCTGTGGGCCTATTCTTTTACATAGCACTATTGAAGTTGAACTGCTGCATCTTAGATTTCAGATGAACTAAATGCTATTACTTTGATCCCTCGATGATAAGCTGCTTGTGTTTGAGGCCCAAACTGCAGCAAATGGCTTTTTTAAGCCTGGAACCAGTCTGCCAATAACAAATCCTACGGCGTATGGACAACATCCTCCTTGGCCCAGACTGGTAGTTTTAACTGCCTGGGAGGCTGTGCGTTGCTGCCATGTCAGTCACAGAGTTAGGTGTGCACTGTGTCCTCCAGGGATGTCCCCATTTAAACGTTCCTGTGTCCCTATTGCAGAAGGGGGGGACTGGCAGAAATATTTACAGCAGATTCCAGAGCTGACGCCAAGACCTTTAGTAGGTTGCATCATTCAGCACTTCTCCTAGAGGAGTGGTAGCAAACTGGGAACTTGCTTACTGCTCTGTCATCACTTAGCATAAAGAGGGAGATCGTTTTTATGAGTATTGGCTTCCTTTACTGTCCAGGGAATCCCCACCTGTAATCATAACATAGTGTTGGTGAAAGACGGAATTAAGACCACTTCCTCCTCCCCCTTTCTGTTGGCACTGTAACCCTTTGGGTAAGAATCTGAATAAAGTCTCTGCCGAGACAAAAGTTTTTCTTTTCCTTTCCTGCAAATTATACGGAACTTCTTGTGGATTGCAGTTCAGCTCAGCACTGACACTGTGTGTGGGAGAGAAGAACTACGGGGCTCCAGGAGAACTAAGATATTAGCTGTAAGGAAAGAAAGTTTAATGAAACAGCCCAACATGCTGTAATTTCTGTAAAAACTTCTTTATTGACAGTCAAGAAGTACAACATTTAAGCCTTCTTTAGGTCATTAAAAGATAAGGTTTTTTAAAGCAGCTGAGAGAGATTTTGATAGTTCTTACTGACACTATGCAGTTGTCCCAGCGATCACATTCCTGTGAAATTTTTCCAGGACCTGGACTTGCTTGCGCCGAATGAGGATGTGGGGACGGATCTTGGCAATAGCCTCTATTGCTTCCTGAGGGCTCCAGTGATGCAGCTGAAAAGGCAGAAATTGAAAATCCATTCCATCCCTGTATCAGTTAATAACAGCCTTCCTGGAGGCTACGGGCAACACTAGAGTTGTGAGAAAATTTACTGCTTTGCCCCTTCGGTTTACTCCGTGTTCCTTTCAGAGGGGCCTGAATGTCAATGCCAGCTCGTTAAATGAGTCCCTCAGTTAAAGTGAGATGGTTGCTGCCTGGGACCTCCATTTTCTCTGGTTCATGCTTCCATCATGTTGTGAATAGTTTCCTGTCCTGGTCCCACCAGACCACAGCAAAAGTGCAGCTCAGGTTTTTTTTTAAAACCTTACTAGTAGTCCCATGGCACTTCAGCACTTCAAAAATTTTCAGCACTAAGGGAAAATTTTCTAGGGAGCAGTTAATAACACCAACAGAAGAATCCAGGGGTGGGATTTTGTTCTTAGTGCTGGCTTACCCAGTTGGGTCTGTAGAGCAGACAAGGGGTCGCTTGATCCCAAACTGTATTTATTGAAAAGCTTAGAAAGGCTCGCCTTTTCAGTTAACCAAGGAGAAAATCTAGTCAACAACAATGGATGTTTATCTGCTCAGTAAACCTACCCTCACCCGTGACTTGTTATTCCCTTCTCAATCTGTCCCTCCATAGAAAGAATTAAGAACAGCAGAATCATTCAAGACCCATTGAGAACTTACTATATTAACAGCCCAGAAAAATGAGCAGCTTCGTGAAGTCTTGACTGCTCTGCCAGAACCAGCAACAGATACCATCAGACCATGTGTTTCAAAGCTGTGTTGCAACAACAGTTTCTCTTTCCCCTAAGATCAGAAGGTCTTTGCCAGTGCTAATAACGGAGCTGGCAGATGCGGATCGCACAGATGAATGAAAAAATTACTTAAAATGGCAGCTTCACCAACAGCTCATTGCCAGGAAGCAATTACCTTGACAGCATCATAAGCGTGGATGAACAAGGTAAATTAGATTATCAAAGGAAGCTTAGACCACAGTTCAGGAAACACTTAAGTTTCACTTGTTCATTTACCCTGCACACTCTACAAACAGCAATGTAAGTTTGGGGCCCAGCTATCCCTCTCTTTTAAAACAGGTCTCCAGCCCAAACTCCATATATCATGGAAGATTAATGCACCTGTACATGCTCAGGCTTTCTTGAGCAAAAGCAGGCTGTAAAGGCTGGCTGTATTCACCCAGACTGTATGAAAATAAACCCCACTTAGCACAGAATCCTTCTTACTTGAATTAAATACGCTGCCACCATGGTGGCACTGCGGGAGCGCCCTGCCTTGCAGTGCACGTAGACGCTGTTACCGCACGCCCGGTGTTTCAGGATGAATTCAACACCTTTGTGGAGGTTTTCCAAGGTGGGGACTCCCGTGAGATCCACGGTGCTGAGACGCAGTTGCTCCACTCCCATTGCCTCCCATTCCTGAAATGGACATAGCAGATTCGAGCAGTTAAACTTTATTTGGGGGGGGGAAGTGGGGGGGGGTTGCATATTTTTCCAGAAAGAAAGCCCAGAACCTGTTGAGAGAGTTGGAAAGTTCACAGAATCACAGAATCCTCATGGTTGGGAGGGACCTTTGAGATTGAGTCCAACCACAAAAAAAAAACAAAACAAAAACAAACCAAAAACAAAAAAAAACCCCCACACCACCCACAAACAGACACAAACCAATGTTCTCAGACACCAGAGCCTGCCCTGAAGGGCCACATCCACACGTTTCTTAAATCCCTTCAGGGATGGTGACTCCACCACCTCCCTGGGCAGGCTGTTCCAGGGCCTGACCACCCTCTCAGGAAAGTCATTCTTCCCAATATCTAATCTAAACCTCCCCTGCCCCAACTTCAGACCATTCCCTCTGGTCCTGTCGTTATTCCCTTGGGAGAAGATGCCAACCCCCACCTCTCTACAACCTCCTTCCAGGTAGCTGTAGAGGGCAATGAGGTCTCCCCTCAGCCTCCTCTTCTCCAAACGAAACATGCCCAGTTCCCTCAGCTTCTCTTCACAGGACTTGTTCTCCAGACCCCTCCCCAGCTTGGTGGCTCTCCTCTGGACACGCTCCAGCGGTTCAATGTCCTAAATGTCCAGTGTCAGTGGGGTCGTAAACAGACTTTGAGCGTCAATCCTTGAAAGGGGATGCATGGAAACCTCAGCGCTGACTCAGGAGAAGTTAAAGGGAACTGCCCAGAGATGTGGCTCGGCTAAAGGAAAGGCAGGGAGCTGGGATCTCCTCCCGGAACAAGGCGCTCCTGTATTTCCACGGTGATGCCGGTGGATTTAGCGCTGCCCTTCCCTCTCCGCCGGGGTCACGCTCCGCACCCTCACCCTTCACTGCTTTGTCGCGCAGTTTTACCGGCCGGTTTAAGGACGGGGAAGGCTAAGAGGCTTTGCTGTCAGAGCACTCGGCCGGTGGCTGCCGGGGTGGCGGCAGGAGGCGGCCAGAGCCTCCCTCCCCCGCGCCGGGACCCGGCGGCGCCACACGGGACCCTTCCCGGTGTGCGTGTTAGGGGGGGGGACACGACACACCGGCGACCTCCCAGCCTCACCTGAGGGGAGCAGCAGAGGAAGCGGGTCTCGTACTCCTCGTTGAGGGTGACCACGGCGCGGACGTTCTCCTCCGCCACCAGCTGCGGGCACGGGGCAGGGTCAGGGCACCGCCGTCCGGCCCTCCCCGGCCCGCCCCGCCGCGCCCGCCTTACCTCACGGCTGCGTCCCCTCAGCGGCAGCGCCCCCAGCAGCACGGAGCCGTCGATGCGGTGGAACCAGGGTCGGCGGGAGCCGGGGAGCTGCGCCCGCGCCGCCGTGTACAGCAGCGTCGGGTAGAAGAGCAGCCGCGCCGCCCCGGCGCCCAGCGCCTCCGCCACCCCCATCGCGGGGGCACCGCCGGGCCGAGGGGCGGGAGAGCGCCCCGGACGAGCGCACTCAGCGTGAGGAGACGGGGGAGCCCGGGGCCGGGAGAGCGGGGCGGCGTCAGGAGGGGGGCGGGCGCGTCGCTGCCGCCTCGGCCCCTCCACCCCGGGGCCGCCGTGGTCTCTCCCGGAAGCGCCGCCATCTTGCGGAGCCGGCCTGAGGCGGCGCAGGGAGGCGAGCGGGGCGCGGGTGGATCCCCGGGGGCAGGTGAGGGCGGCGGCCGCCAGGAGGAGCTCGGGCCGGGCCGGGCAGGGCAGGGACGGCGCGGAGCGGAGC